AACACTTGCCTTGAAAACTGCAAGGACTCGTCCAAGCAGTCGCTGCAGAGTCAGTAATGACTGAGCGCAGATTAAAAAAAAAAATGTTGTAGATAAATCTTGCTCAATCCCAGTGCCTCGAACACTCAAGCATCTCCCCTACATTCTGCATGGGATACGTAGGAAGGCTGCAGAGACTGATCCACATAGTTCATACTCAACTCAAGGAGGTACATGCACAGAAAGGCTGGTGTTCATCTCAAGGACATATTCAAACTTTAGAGAAGATTCAGGAGCGGGCAAAACTTCAAATGTAAAAGAGAGTAATAAGGATAAACAGTCATTACCCTTCCCCTGCTTATAGAGCTATCCTTGACAGATGAAAACTTGGTTAATTTCCCAAAAGCTGTATGCACCACCACACTGGTATTCCTCACAGCACCTAAAGATCTTTGGAAGAGGAAGGACAGGGGTTCATAGTAGGAGATAATTCAACATTAAGTTACATGCCCCTTCTTGGACTAATAAACTCTTTATAGCTCTCTCCAGCACAGTCCTGGAGGTCTGAATACAGTCAAGCATCTGGCCACTTCGACTCAAGAGGGACAAGAGATAGCCTTCCTCCTCACAAGAGGGACACTACCAACCCCAAAGGAATTACATAATCCAATTGAAAAAAAATGCTAATTAACTCAAATCACTCTAAATTTATATCCATTTCATAGGATATAGCAGGATGGTCAACCTGTTTTAAAGATCATCAGTTTTTCAAGTATCTGTCCCATTCAATATCTTTTTCCTGCAAGAGACCTGGGCTAGATGGTTATCACATCAACCAATGTATTAGATCTCAGAGTATGACTGGGGAACATCCTAAAGATGTTTTTCATCTATGCAATTTTGATTAGCATAGAATTGGAAGCAAAATGCATCTCCCTTCCACCCTTGAAACACTTAATGGTTTGTTCCTTGCTACAGTATATCTCAGAGAGATGGACATCATTATGTTTAATATCTATACCCCTCTGCTTATAATGCAGGCAAGGACCAGAGCCTGCTGGGAGTGAATTTATAATTATATAGATCTCTGTACTGAAGCCCATCAGACAGCTTCAGTTTTAATGGGGGGGGATTAAAATACTAGAATGGTGTTAACAACCAAGTCCTTTTTCAGAAGTTCAAGTGCTGCTTTGAGGAAGCATCATTCGAGATCCCATTACTATCAACAGCTGCTAAGGTTTCATGATGGAACTTGTTAGCCAGACTAGCCAAACTGAACCCTTCCTGATTACAGAATTGTAATAATGGAATACATATTTGATGGAATGATAAGAGTGCAACAGCTACTACTGGATGCTTAAAAACTTTACCTACTATGGAAATCCACACTTATTTAATCGCCACTGAGTGTCTTGTAGAATGTATACAGCTGTTTGAATAGCTAATTATTTGAATGAAGTCTGATCTGCATGCAGAAAAAAAATAAAAGAAATGGTCTAACTCAGGCTGTAAACCAAGTATGTGGCTTGATTGTGAAAGTATGCAGATGAAAAAGGTATTTAGGGAGCTATATCAGCAGCCTACAGTGGCTTTCCTTAACACCAAACAATCTTACAAATCTCTGATAAAGAAGAAGAAAGCCAAAGTCATCAGGAAAATCTGCAGATACTGATTCAGTCTCAGAGATTGTCAAGTCTCATTTTGCTGGCCCCTAACAGCTTTGGGACAGCCAGTCTGGTGTAGTGGTTAAGGCATCAGACTAGAAACTGGGAGACTATGAGTTCTAATCCCAATTTAGGCATGAAGCCAGCTGGGTGACCTTGGGCCAGTCACTCTCTCTCAGTCCTAGGAAGGAGGCAATGGCAAACTGCTTCTGAAATCTTGCCAAGAAAACTGCAGAGACTAGTCAAAGCCATTGCCAGGAGTCAACACTAACTTGAAGGCACTCTCTTTCTCTTTCTCTCTCTCTTAAAGATACACAGGGATCTTTACTTGTGTGAAAGATGTTTTACTGTAATACTTGGACCAAACAAGAAATGAATACAATAATACTGACTTGAAGGCACACACACATTCACAAAAAGGATTGGGCCTTCATCATGCACCCTCAAACCTGGTCAATCAAGAACCTATAGTAGTATGAGAGGCTCATTATAAAGTCCTATATGCATACCTGGAACATACATCTCACAGCTCCCTAACAGGGCTAGCCAAACTGGAAACAAAGCCCCCAGTTTTGTTGTTAGAAAGAGTAATACTGATAAGATTTCTGAAGACAGACAAAGCTCCAGGCACTGACCAAGTTCTACCAGAAGCAATAAAACTGAATCCTAACTGTGGGCACTAAATGATTTCCTTCTTTACATTTATCAACCAGACTGGCCTCACAGCAAAGGATTGAGTGGTGGCAATTATTGTATCCATATTAAAGAAGGACAACAAATAAGATCCCGCTGTCTATAGACGAATTAGCGTATGGAGCATGATCAGTAAACTATAAGCCAAGCATCTAAATACTAAACTTCAAGACTGGATTGAGACTAAGCAGATTATTAGAGACAAACCAGCTAGTTTTAGGAAGACAACCCTTGATCATATTCTTGTTCTCTGTCATCTTATCCAGAAGCAGATACAAAACCAAAAATCTCCCTTATAGGTGGTACATCTGGATTTCAAGTTTGCCTTTGATTATGTTGCTAGAAGCACTTTGTGAAAAAAAACTCTGCAGCACATCAATTGATAAGCAGTTCCTTTTTTTGCTCCAAAACTTGTACTCAAACTAATGCTTCTCTCGCACAGAATAACCATGCAGAAAGGGGCCCATCAAGGCTTTTTATTCAATTTATTATATATTAACTCAATGGCATTAAGTCATAACCCTGATTTCTATGTTCCCAGGAGACCCATTCTTTTGTATGCAGCTGCTGATGCTATTGTACCCCAAACTCTGATTGGGATCAGAAGAGCAATGAAATCTGTCATCCACTATAGCAAGCAAAACAGGCTCATGCTCAATTATCATAAATCTAAAATAATGGCTGGCAAAAATGCTGAACAGAAAACCTAGATTATTGAGGACAATGAGAATGAGCAGGTTCACACCTTCAAATACCTAAGAATAGTTTTTGATACCAAAGGATCAAGGAAAGCAGAAGATGGCTAGACCTCTGACTGCAAGTTAATCTTCTGCAGCCATTAAGCACTTCTTTTTCACCAAGCGTGGAGGGGTAGTTTCTGCTGCTCTTAAACTTTTTATAGCCAAAGCATTAATCAAGGTCTTATAAGGAGCATGGCTGGGAACCTGTGTCACAAAGAATACTAAAGAAAATATGCAAACACAATTTCTGAGAGCCAATCTTGCACCCCAAGATGTGTAACCAACACCATCAGACTTGAGGCAGGGATGCCTAAACTAGAGGTTATGGCCTGGAGACTGATCATCAGTTACTGGCTAAAGATCCACGTCTTCCTCAATGGCACGCTACTTCTTGTACTGCAAGAGGAAGTACAAGAACTACCCCATTCTTCAGGTTAGGGTGATGCTATAGAGTCCATTAGCATGTTATGAGCTGGTGCTGGCCCTTTGAAGTAGCTAGGTCAGGAAACAGACACCACAAGGATTCCAGGAATGTTACTTATTGTCATAAAGTATAATAACAGAATCTTGAAAGCTTGTCAGAGTTTCCCTCTGCCTTATCTTATACCAAACAGAATCAAGATGGGGCTGTTTTGAGTTTCTTTCCCATGCTTTCCACTTTACCAAGACTGAGTTGCCATTTCATGTCCCTTCACAGTTACTCCCCTCCAGGGTCATCTTTACATTCCTCTACTGCTGGGTTCCTTCTTACACTGGGCTACAGAAAGGCCAGATGTGTACTCCTTCAAAGACATAGAGTACCAACTGGAGATTAATGGGATCCCACCTAACAGTACAACCTGGCTTTTAAGGGAACCTTGGGGGCTGGTCAAATATTTACTGTAACATTTCTTGCCTTTTCCAGACTGATGAAAGATCTCTTTCAGGCATGGCATACTGTGTTACCTTCAGTGCTCTTACTGGGCAGATACTCTGAAATCCCTTTATCTGAACAAGCTTGTCTTTGGGTTTCAGAAGATATGGAAATTGTTGCTCATGAATTGCTGTATTACAGGTTCTACAGGGACATTTGGCATGTGCTTATTTCACCTCTTCTGCATCAATATCCAAAATGAACAGACTCTGATTGTATCAGGCGTATCCCTTCTGATTCTAACACTAGCAGGACCAGTATTGTGACTATATTCTGGGTTGCTGCTGTTAAAACACACCATCAAATACCATCTCCCTGATTATAACATTTTCATTATAATATTTTAATGCTTTTATTTTATCTTCATTTTTGATTACATACTTTCTTTCTGGATCACTGAAATAATAATAATAATAATAAGGTTGCAGCAAAGTGTTTTATCTGCTCCTTTCTGCCATCATTCTTTCTGTCCCTGTAGGCCATCAGAAAACTGTCCAATATATCATTTGGCACAAAAGAGCTCCAGCAAGAGTTGTGTTTTGGCAGAACAGAGTGACAAATGACAGCAGTTGTTACGTTTATATTGATAGAGTGCATAATGTAAAGTCGTTTCAGATTTTCTCATTTCCAGGTGTTAAACTGGAAATAAGTAATTAACCTGTTAAATTTGTGGGCCCAGACTCATATGCAGGGCATACATATGAATACAGAAATAACTTCCCTTAACCCAATGAGTAGATGGAACTTATACAAGGTGGCAGCACCAATCGGACTTTGGTGCGGATCTCAAAAACCAAAGCAGGACCGGACTTGATTAGTATTTAGAAAGGAGACCATCACAAACATCAGCGCTATAGTCTAGATTGAGAAGTCCCCAAAAAATGCCTGGAAGAAGCAGTGGCAAACTACTACATTGTTGTAGTCCATCAAATTACCAAGAATTGAGCTCGATTCAAAAGAGATTTTACATATAGGACTGCAGTCCTTCCCTATCATTACTCTGGCATCTCTCTCCCTATAGTTCCATCAATATAGGAATGGTTCTAATCTCAACTATAATTGATGTCCATAAATATTTTATGATTATAATAAAATGAAAATTTAAAAATCCATATATTCATATGCAAGGCTAGACATGTTTAAAGGATTCTGATCGTTTAAAAGTAAAATGCAATGCTCAGTCTAGGCTAGAATAATTCCCAATATGGAGGGACTTGGTGGCAAAATGGACACAGCATAGACAGTAGTCAAAGGGGGAAAATGAAGACTATATAAGGAAAAGCTGAAATGTTCCAAAACCTGCAAAGTTGTAATTTGCTAAAGAAGGGCCAAAATTTGTCTCATCTGAACAGAGCTGCTGCTCCTTACTGTAGAGTGAAATGAAAATAAGAAAGCAAAAGAAGACTGTATGCTATGTGTTTATTAAACACATTGGGTTAGACCTGGGGCCAGCAATGGAATCTTTAGTAATTGTCAAAATTACATTGTTGTAAAGGAAGACATACGTGTGCCTTAATGACATTAAAAAAGAAAAAGAAAAGTAAGTTCAAACATGGCAACATCTTGATATTGGTTCATTTAATGACATTTGTGAAGATCTGTAATATGCCCATCTAGCCAGTTAAAGTCATGTGAATCAAAAAAGCTGACACTTATTTCATCTTTCAGAACAAGATGTGACACATTCATAGATTCATATAAATAAACAGGTCCTCCAGAAGGCCAGACAATGGCAACACGTTTCTGAGTATGAGCAGCTCTTCTGTTGGTGGGTTTTTACAGAAATTATGGTAACAGGTATCCAACTAACTCCTGTTAGACAAATTTCCATGATAACTTTTAGGATAACTTTATATAAACCATCTAGGCTTAAAATTTTAAGTTTTAAAAAGGAACTGAATAGTGTATGTTTCTGAAAGGAAAATCTTCACTGTCAACATTTTGTTTTGGATTAAGGCCATGGGATGTGTTACTGTGGAAACTGTTACTGTGAGGCTGGTTGGCATGGCGATAAATGTGAACTCCAATGTGACATCACCCCCTGGGAGATCAAGAAGAGGTGTACCTCTCCAGATGGCAAAATCTGCAGCAACAGAGGTGTGTCATTCCCCTTGGTTATGGGCTAAGTGCACTTTTTCAACAAACCTTTGGCACTCTTCCAAAATTACAGGGCATAGGGAAAACTCAATTGATTTGTTATTAGAAAAAGAGTGGCAGATATTGCTAACTATGAGCCAATGCCAGTTTGTTCTATTTTATTTACCATCCAGTGTATTAACATAGTGAAATGTGGAGAGCCATCATCTGTGGCACCATGGAGAAATGCTGGGCGATGTAGCTGAACAACTCTTAAAGCCCCCTAAGTTCCTCACCTGTGATTTATGAGGAATGTATGCTGTAGGTATGCACACGCACCCATACAGATACATATTGCCCGTTATAATGTTTATACATAAGACCTTAATATTATGGGAAGGGCACTAGCTTATGGAAGGAAGGCTGCTGAAAAATTACAAAATGGGAGTCAGCCAAAGCCTGTCATTTATTCAGGCACTGTGAAATCAATGCATACGGAACAGCAGTGGATGAGGATAATTCACACCTTGGCTTCTTCTGTTTCCATGCTGTTTCTTATGCTTTCACAAAACAGCAGAAGCAGATGTCAATGCAAAGATGAAATACATCCCGATAGGTCCTTTTTCAATCATGGAATGGAACAGAGGCCAGCAATAAAGAGAATCTAGGCAAGATGAACATTCCGAAGGAGGTGCTAAGCAAAGAAACGAGAATATAGGAGGCTCCACTTTTCCTAGATGATTCTGTATTTTCACTGAAATCAATTGTCCTGGATGCAGCATTGTTCCTAGGGTGTGTGACATGGCATTATGGCCACGCACGTCTTTGGCTTTCTCCTACCTCTACCCTCTATATTGCATCATTTTATTTTGTGCATAAAATTAGATCTATATAATACAATGTCTCTATCAGTGAGATTTATAAGACTCTTCTCTGCTGAGTACAGTGTCAAATGATGTTCTTTCTACTTAGGGAAGCGTTGATTGTTTGCTGAATTTACAGTGTGAGTGTATATGTGCTTGCATAGACACATGAATTTTTGCTGTCAAGTTCGTAATTTGATGCTGTTGTTAAACGTATATTTTGGGTTGGATACAAACTTAGCAATATTTAAAACAGACTTCTTGAAATCAATAGGGCTTATGTTAGTCATGACTAGCCTGTTCTATTCATTCTGATAAGTCTGCTCTAAACACAGCTAAGTCTAGATCCCATCCAGTTTTTTAAAAATGTATTTTATTAAGTTTTATTAAAGAGAACTGACGGCCTATGTGAGATTTTAACATACTCAGTGGAGACATTGCCTTTTATTTTTGATAGTTCACTGTCTTGGCTGCCATAATGAAAAACAGTACCCAGGATTGCTGATTCCATAACAGACCCAACTCAGAAGAAATTACAAGCAACACTCCATTATGAGATAGTTAGCACTCATCATCTTTAAAATAAAATAAAAATAAATAAAAAATAAAATTGTGTCTAAATCCTCTGTATGTGCATGTTAATTTCCACCACTAATTTATCATTTCATTTTGACATGAATAATTTTAGTTTGATAGGAAGAAAAAAGATTCATATATAGATTTACTGTATATTCATATACTATAAGAACGTTTGCTTTCATCAGGAAATATTTAAAATATCAACTGTTGTTCCTCTGGCTATAGTCCAGACCTATTAGATTAAAACAAAAGTGCAAATCTCAAAATTCATCTCTTTACTACATCTCTATTGATAAAAATCTGCCAAATGAGGAGTATCTAATTATGTCAAGAGCATTTATAAAACCCTCTTATCTTAATCATACAGCAATTGAAAGCTGGCTAAAATATTGAAATATTATATACATATACATATCCATATATATATTTATATATCCCTAGAAACAATGCACAAATAATTGCTTATCAGATTAGATCTTTAGCTCATCAAATAACAAATGATACCAACAGAAAGTTTAGACTGGACTGTAATATAATTCTGTAGATGAATTATTTGTCTATTTATTGACATGGAACTTTATGATTGATGGAAATGTCATGATTTCATTGAAGGCAATCCTTTAAAAATTACATGATTTAAAAAAAAAATTATAGTTAACCACGAGTTCAGAAAGTGTACCAGAAGAGAGGAATATCATTGTATAAAAATACCCAAATAATCAAATGTTTAAGGGACATTGTATGGACTGACTCCCAGATAATTATGGCAGGTCAATGATTCCATTGTTCCCATATTCCCTGCTCCCATATTTACATTTTGGATGGCATTAGCTTGCACCTCATTCACATGGCGGCATTAGTGAGTTCTTCCATATGGGTGGTAGTGGATTCTTTGACGAGTGTAGACATGGTCTGGGTGAAGAGTTACAGTGAGAAACCGAGACAGAGCTATCCCACAATAAAGGCAATCTCAGTAATCTGGCAACAACTGCAAATGATGTCTTGGTGAATGAAAAAGGCATGAGCCAAAAATATGGGGAACAGCCTACTAGTGTAATTTTGCTATTTGATTAGGAAATCTCTTGCTTAGTGAACAATTAAGTTTTGGGAGCTTGCCATGTCTGTTATGTATGGTTTTCCTAGTTACCCTGGAAACAATTTTTGCACCAAACTAGGAAAGGGATTGTTTAAAACCTTCTCTTAAACATTTTTGTCAAAAGTAATTTGTCCTGAAACTTATCATAGCTGAGCAGCCCTAAACCTAACTAAACTAAACCTAACAGAAATTTTATAAATCTGATTTACAGATTTCAAAAATTACATATAAACTAGATTTTTTTTTCAAAGAAAAACCCTATTTTTTTTAAAGTATATCAAGTTCTAAAGCAAATCAATAAAGGAAGTTTAAATTGATAAAGGGGAATTTACCAGGAAATTAGTTTATAATAGGGCTATATCCATATAAAAGGCTTATATGGGTAATTACATATAGATCCAATCTCAGCTCCACACTTAAATAAGCATCAGCCAAACAGAGCAGATGTTAAAAAAGGCAACAAGAACAATCAGAGAACTGGCAAGAAAGATCTACAAGAAGAGATGGAGGGAAATAGGTAGAAGACGGCTCAAATGGGAGAGAGTACTCATGAAATACCTGAAGTGGCATCACAGAGATGTTTGACCTATTTTCTATTATCCCAAATGCATAATATATAAATAACATGGTCTTAATAAAACAGATTCCAAGTAAATGTAAAGAAAAACCTATGGTGATTTAGGGAAGTGATAGTCTTCCCTTCAGTAGATGTCTTCAAGCAGAGACTAGATAGACATTTGTCAAAGATCCTTTAATTTGGATTTCTGCAGGGGATTGGACTCAATAATCTCAAAATTTCCTCCTAATTCCATTCTGGAAATGAATATTGAAAATTAATTTGGCATTTGAAAATTAATTTTCAGGATGTTTCTTGACATCATTCTGAAATTACGTACACACACGTGCGTGCGAGCCAGCATAGCATAGCGGTTAAGGTGTTGGACTGGGAGTGGGGGAACCCATATTCTAGTCTACCCTCAGCCATGGAAATTCAGTGAGAGACTTTGAGTTATTCACTGTCTCTTGGCCCAACCAACCTCACAGCTGGTGTAGGGGAACACCAGAGGAAGAAGTGCTGCCTTGACCTCCTGAATGAAAGCTATGAATACAAACATTATTGACAATTTATATCTGATCGATTTGTCAGATATAAATTGATCTAAACTTCCCTTGTTTTCCTGCAGTTAGTATTAATTAAATATGCATCTCAGATCTTGGGTTTCTAGATAGGGATTTTATACTCATACGTTGTATTGTTTGAGTGGTACAAGGCTATTTTAGCCATTTTTGAATGTTTCATGTTGATCAGAAAGAAAGTATATTCTAACTTGCATGTTTGATGATTAAAAAGTGCAGCAGTGCAGAAAATAAGATGCCTCTGAACTCCCAATCTTTCTTGGTGACATGGAACTGGCTAGGACTGGGAGGAAGCATAGAATACAACCTCCAGCTATTCCCCAACTTCATTGATCCAAAGAAGTTAAACTCACTGTAAGTTTAGGGTATTACAGAAAACTGTAACAGAAGCTTGCACTTGGCAACATTTTGTGTAACAGGCTTGGAGCTATTTTTTCTTTGATAATGGCAGGAATAGAAAGACATGCTGTTTGAGGAGCAGACGGGAGGGATGGTAGTGGCTCTGACTCAAATGTGCACACACAAAACTCGGTAGGGCTGTTTGCACAACATAGCAAGCCATGCTGCTTAGGTATAAGCAAATACGCTTGTCCAATTGCTCCTCTCTTTGAGCTGCACAGCCTGGACACAGTAGCCCCCAGCTTGTTTAATGGCCTATCACACTCTGCGAATACAATATTCCAGGAACTTCCAGCAGGAACAAACCAGGGAGCATCACCTTGATTTGTTTTAAAGTTTGCTTATGGAGACCATCGCAGCAGAAGACCCTAGCACGCTGCATTTGCTCAGCCTGGTGAATCACAAACAAGCTACCTACAGTAGTTACCAAGCCATGCCACACAAAGGGTGGAATGTCTGGGTGTGGATGTTTGTTAATACCAAGCAAGCCTGGCCTACTGTGTCCAGTGAATGTTATCTGGGTGTGCACCTAGTCCTAGAGGTCTTTGGTGAAAGATCCCAGAGAGCTGAAACTGGTGGTTTTCAAAAGTAGTCAAAGAACTTGTGATACCCAGGATGAGTGAAAATATAAACTCAGAAATGCAAACCCACCCACATCTACATATTATACACACAGAGATCATCAAGACTGAAATATTGGTATCTGATGCAAATGCTGACTTCCTCTAGTCAACATGTTCAGGAATGCAAAATTTCCACTTGAGACAGCCATTTCAAATGCAGCTGTTAAGTCAACAGTTATATATGATCAGAATACTAGTTCTCAAGATTGTGTGGACTGATTTTTTTGGGTTCTCAGAATACATTTAACATCTAGTGGCCAAATGCTGATTTTTCTGGAGTTCTGATTTTTTCAATGTTTGGAGTATATGGACTAAAACCCAAATAATTTGGTTTAAAGCCTTTCTGTCTTAAAAAATAATATGCAGAAGGATGAAAAAAAAAAAAGCATCTGTCCCTTCCTTGTAGTATTGCATCCCAAAAACACCCCTGTGGCCTATCCAGGACCTATTTTCATGGCATCTGGCTGTAAAATTATTGCCCAGCCCTGTCATATTTCATTTAAATACAGAACTGAGTTGTTGATTTTCCTTTGATTTTGTTCAGTATCAACTTTTCCTATTGTAGGAACCTGTGTGTGTGGAGAATGCATATGTCATGATGTTGACCCGACTGGAGATTGGGGAGATATTCATGGAGACACTTGTGAATGTGATGAACGAAACTGCAAAGCAGTCTATGATCGATACTCAGATGATTTCTGTACAGGTACAGGAAATAATTCAAGGATTTAATGTGATCTGCATGAACTCAGGGAAAGATTTAATATGCCTTGTAATGGAGCCAAAATGATGGCGCACGTACAGTGATGTCATCCCATTAATGTCACAATTATAAACTTGTGTCCTGACTTCAGATACAAGTACATAAGTCATGGGATTTGCATGATGACATCATCACACATCCTGTCATTTCTTGCCTTTGTCCCTCCCTTGTGGAGGGAGAAGGTGACCTCTCTCCACAAGTTTTCCAGAAAATGATCTGTATTTTGCCATATGAATAGATATGAGTGGTCAGACTAAAGTAATAAAGTTAATACCATCTAGTAGTTACAGCTTTAAAGCCAAACAGCATATGCAGATATAGTTGGGGTGTTTAATACAAAATCCAAAAGTATGGAGTCTAGTATCTTGCAACTTTTCCTCTGTTATGTCCAGATAGTGAACAAACATTCATTTATTTTATTTCCCACCTTTATTTTGTACAACTCAAGGTGGCATACTCCTGTTTTCCCCACAAGAACCCTGCCAGATGGGATGAGGCAGGAGAGAGTGACTGGCCCAGAGTCACTCAGCCAATTGCCCGGGGAAGGATTAAAACTCACAGGTGCTCAGTTTCTAGTCCAGCACCTCCACCTATACCAAACTGGCTCGCTTAACATCTAGTGCTTCTCAGTTACAGTGTGATGGAGCAAACAGGGGCCTAGAGAGGTGCCTTGCAACAGGCACGGACATTCTTAAGACTCCCTATGCATTGCTTTCATGTCAGCCGACTAGCAATGAAGCAACTGAGGAAACAGAAGGAGGCAGGTAATGAGACCGTTCTGGCTTAAAACAAATGGAATCACTGCCTGTCAGGTGAAAAGTTTTCATAAATTTTGAATAAAAAATATAAAGGGGAAATAAAGTCTGCAAAAATGTATTCAAATTAACCAACTGGAAATTACAATAAGCCAGCTTGTAAATAGAAGTGTCTGTCTGGAACTAAATGAAACACTTGGGGTTAATTTCAAGACTTTATTCCCAAGGTCTGGAAACCCTATTGTTCAATTTTACCTTGTGGAGAAAGAGTTTCCATTGGAGATTCCCATATTCTCAATATTTCATTTCGCTCCAAACTGCTGAGTGTTGTCTTCCTCAGAATAGATTTAAATAACGGATATTATTAAATAGCCCTTACCAATATCTCCAGCTGGAAAGAAATAATCCTCCTTCTAATAACCTCCCTCCCTCATAGATTTTAAGGATTAGAGAAAATAAGAAAGAGAGGGGGGATATGATGTTGTTTCCTGTGCCCCAATTCTCTGTGAAGCAAAGTTATGTAAAATTCTACCATTCCATACACATGATAGGAATGTGATAGGTGAGTCATTTATTTTATTTTATTTTATTTTATTTTATTTTATTTTATTTTATTTTATTTTATTTTATGACACACATAAATATACATATACGTATACATATGCTGCATGCATGCGTGTAGTTTTTTTCCATCATGAAACTCAAGCAGAGCACACAAATGTCCCAGGAAGCCTTCTAGGCAATTTCTAGGTTAGAATGATACAAAACGATGCCCTCTATATGCTTTAGAACATCACCCGCCCCCCCACCAGTGCAGGTAGCAGGATGGAGAGGGTTTTTCAAACTGTACTTCAAGGAACTCTAAGAAAAACTCTTCCTAAGACAAGAATTTGATGGGGTTCCATAAGAGATTAAGGACAAAAAAGAAAAAAAAAAGTTCATCTGAATGCAGCCAGTTTTCTATCACTAGAGCTTTGCCTCTTAATCAGGGATCCAGTTTGTTCCCCCCTTTTTTAAACTAACAGGTTCTGTGGCCTAAAAAAGTTTGAAAACCCCTGATCTAGAAGACACCAAATTGCTTCCTTCTTATCTACCCCAGACTTGGCTAGTTCTCCAGACTGTGTCATTGTAACTATAGGAGAGCATACCTCATAGGTAACAGCCATGTTTGTTTATTAGCTCTTAAATTCCCATAACTTAAACAGGAAGACAGAACCTTTTTACCTGGCTTGCTGGACGTCTAATGTAGGCAGTTATGGAGTTCTTGGTGCTCTCTGAGCTTGGTTGTTTGCTTGCAGAGGACCAGGAACTCCACAGTTCAACCCTGAGCTACAGATATTCTCTTCAGTTGGATAGAGAGTCATTCACATGAGAAACACTTAAAATGTTATCTCAGATCTTCAGTCTGGTATATGGGAACTGTGGCAGACTTCTGGTTGCCATCCTACTGCTGTACCACAGTTTGCTCTAAGATGAGGAAGGACTAAAGAAATTAAATAAGTGCTAGAGACAGGGATGTTTGAGAAGCTGGGCTTTGTGTAAAGAAATGGGAATATATAAATGTGCTCTCAAAGTTCCCTTGGTCCAGGAGCCAGAAAAAATATAAAAGGCCTTTGAAGAAAGTTACAAGTATGATATGATGTCCACCGAAAAGGGACAAACAAAATATGAAAACATGAACAGTAGCAAGCAGGTCGGTAGTGTTAATTTCACTGACTCAAGGAACATTTAAGCAGGAGGTCAGAGATTTTAGAGGACTACTGTGTGTGGAGATGGAGGTGAAATATGTATTTTGTTTTGCTGTTAAGGTCATGGCCAGTGTAACTGTGGACGATGTGACTGTAAAACAGGATGGACAGGAAAGAAGTGTGAACATCCAGTTTCTTGCCCCATCTCACCTGAAGAGAGTATTAGGAAATGTCAAGGAGATTCACATCTTCCATGTTCTGGCAGAGGTAGGTTATTCTGATTTTCCAGGATGATCACAGTTCATTTGTGGGAAGCAATTTAGTTTCACTAAGCATGTGCATTAGTTTACACTCAAATATTGGTTTTAGATTACAGTAGCCTCCCAGCACTGCTGGTTGCTTGCTTAATGTTAAATGGGAAACAAATGAAGCAGAACAATGAGGCACAGATTTGGCTGATGAGCAATCCATCATGTAGACTTTGCCACCTGCTCGTTCTCCTCCCTGGCTTGCTATTTTAAGTGGCAAGGAGCAGCGTCTAGTTTGAGACTTCAAAAGTTGTAATTCGGTAAACCTGATGCTCAAAAGATGCTTCACGATTGTTTCATGATTCAGGTCATCCTTCATGTTGTTGTACCATGTTACCTGTGAAAGTAATATTCCATTAGTGTTCAGTAGGGAGTGAATATGTTTAGTTTGAAAGGTTTGAAGAATTCCTTTTTCTCATTCATATTTTATAATGGCAATGTGTCATGTGTTATATCTGCAACAACTTTGTGCTGAGCTGATGTTTTGCTTGTTATTTCTTATTTTGTTCATGGGTTTGGTAATGTATAGTTAGCAGCACTGTTGTCCCCACTTGGGGGTGGCAGAATACAGTATTTTATGTAGTAAATATTCTTAATAAGGAAACACCTGTCCCAAATATTCACAGCAAAATGTGGGGAAGTGGTGTATCAATGTACACTGGCTAGTTGGCAACTTTGCCTTCCTCACTGTACTTGGCATTATAAGGATTCTTGGTGAACTGAGGAACTGTTCATGGATAGAATTTAACATATATTAGTTGTCCAATGAAAAGCTACAGAGTTGACTTGGTTGCAGCTTCATCTGAATTATCTGTAATTTGAAAGAGTTAGGTATAATTCACATTTGCTGGATTGCATCCACGTTTGTATCAAACAAAACAATTAGCTAAATAAAAACTATTTCACTTAATCTAGTGTTTTAAAGACATGGGTTACAACATTATGTGTAAATGTATAAATGTGCACATTCTATGATTAGAGAAATAGCAGTGTAGGCATTTATTATAGAAATTATATCATTGCAATTTCAGTAATAAACTTTTTGAAAGGTGACATTATAAAGATTTGCAATCATGTCTTTAGTTTTTTTAAAGCTGAGGTCTTTATCGGGAGCAAGTAAGTTCTACACTGTAATAGAAGATAATCTTGGAATGCCCTTTGAAATATCTGAAAAACTAAGGAATAATGAATTTTGGTTTGTTCTTAACTTCTATATTTACGTACAGTATGTGTGTTAAAATATTGATCCTTAATATTTAAAAAAGAGCATTGTGGTTTTGGTCTTTCCATGTGGTGATGAAAGAGAAATATACAGTCAATGTATCATCTACAGTGTGTTTGTTATTACTACTCTTGCATCAATGATTGCTTTAGTAACGATGATTGCAGAACATGCATATATTTTATTTACTTATTTTATAATATCTGTAGCCTGTCCTAATCAACAAGGGCTATGAGCAGTGTGTGCTGTCTATTTGAAGAAAAACCTCATAGGTGCCCTATGACTAAATCAAGTGATTGTCCACTGAAACAATACTGCTTTGGCTTGTTTAAGAAATGCCAGTAGGGCAGGGACCCTCTGTAACTCCAGGAAGAGAAAGGAGGCTGCTGTTGAGAAGACCTGTCACCACACACCTCTCAAGGAGGTTGTTCCCACAAATGGGTCTTCTCCTGATGACCAGGTCAGAGTGGAAGATTCAGTTCTGGCAAGATGTTGTGTCATGTATCCAGGCGCTGTGTCACTGAGACTTCAAAGGTAACAACCAGCAATTTGAGTTGGGACCAGAAGCCTACTAGTAACCAGTGCAGCAACTTCAGAACTGGGGCTGTTCTAATTTGATGGGTTTGTCCTCCACATTTTGTATGAGCTGTAGCTTCCAAAGCAGTAGGTGCATGGTAGTGGTGGGGCCAGGCCAAGGTGAGCTTGAACACAAAAACAAAGGCCAAGATGAGACTCAGGATGGAATTTTGCACCTAGAGGCACTCTCATTTTGGGAGGGCCTGATTTTTGCTCCCCAGAGAGGAAGATTCCTGATGCTGGCAACCCCAGGTGTACATTTTTCATTATGGTGTGATGGTGAATTCATTTGTTTTCAATTTACCATTAAAAAAAAACTGTTCTCAAAGAGCTGTGTGGTTGTATGGAAGGAAGAAAATAGTAAATACATGAAGAATAAACATTGTCTGTCTGTAATGTAATTTTAATTAAATCAAACTAATATTTGTCCTGGTCCTACAAACCTGGGAAACCTGGCCAAAGTTTCTTAACCAGGCCCCCAAAATTGCAAAGCATTTAGTGGAAATGGAAGCAAAGACAATTTAGAACAGTTCTAAAAAAAAACCCGAATAGAAAAAATTGTATTTTTATCTTGTTTCATGAAAGTATAAGAAATGCTTCTATCACACTGTGGAAGAATGAACTCACCACTCAGAGTGAGCAGCCATTTCTTTTCCTTCCTGGGATGCAGAGTTTTGGTGTTTTGCCCCAAGACAAAAAACAGACCTAGAGTGTGAGGTCTGCTGTATGTTTAGCTGTTGATGTTCTGATTCAGGTCCATGATGGCCATGAATTCCAAAGCTACCTGTAACTATGCACCCAGGGAAGCTAGGTTGGAGCTTTCCGGTACTATGATGCCACAACGTCAAGCAGTTCAGGGAAGGAAGCTGCTATGCAGCAGAGAGGCTTTACAGTAGCAGCAGTCCCATCTGATTCTTAAAGCTCAGCTTCATAAACAAGAGTCTCTCACCAGTTATCTGTGGAACAGAGCCTGGATAACTGTAGCCACTTCATCACTCATGTCCTGGGGCCTTGGCTGATGCCACACTCAAAACCCAGGTGGTCACACTTCTGAAAGGCACCCTTCTCCCCCACTGCCTTCTGATCTTGGTGATACATGCCAGGTGGCCCTCTCATCCATTAATAGATCCTAGATTAGGGAATCTTTATTACAGGCTGACCTGGCATTTGGTAACCACAGCCAGAGTGCAGGGCTACTGAGGGTCTGATGACTGGGAATTGGGGCAGATAATGGAATCAGTATAAGGCACCAAGACCACTTTCAAAAACAGCCTGCCCCTTGGCTCCTGCCATATTTCCCTCTACCCATCACCCCTGAGATGTTACTGAATTCCCCTTCCCCCAACAACCTCCTTCCATCTGTCCCTCAGGTGAAAGGGCCCCAACTATCAATCTAGGCACAAGCAGAATCTCTCTAAACCCTGCCATTCTGATAATATATTTACTGTACAAGTTAAGCAGATAAGGGAGAATGTTCTTCCTTATCTCACTCCCTTCCACATCCTGAACTATTGTTTTTCCAAACTCAGTTCTTTCAGAAGCTGAAAGGTCATTCAGGAGAATTACATGATATTCTGGCATGCTAATTAACCTTAGTATATTTCACATTTCTGAGGTGATCTCTAGATTGCTGTATCCTCCTTATATTTTGTCTCTAATATCCATCTTACGTTACCTATTTGATCTAGTATACCTCTGTCATTTCTGAATCCTGTCTGTTCTTTTGGCATGTCTGATTCTATGTTTGGCTCATGCATGACAATTTATGCAATGGTTTGATATTTGCACATTCTGTTGTATCTCCCTTCTTCTATGCATCTTTCATCTTTTCCTTGTTATTTTCCTCACTTGTTGACATTCTTGATTGAGAGATCTTTTCCTGTACTTTCTTGTTTGACACCGAAACCTATGCTCAGCTGCCATGCACCTTTCTTGTTGCCCAAGGCTTTCATCTTGTGCCATTTGCTGGCTATCATTATGACTTCATCTGAAAAGCACTTGGATCTCTTCCTTTTGAAATGGTGAGAACTCTCCCACCCCCCCCACCCCCATTTCCATTTTTCACAATCTTTCTTATCTCTTCCCATAGCTCCACAGGTCCTCTCTCATATACGTTATGTCTGCAGTACCTGCTCCTTTTTTTGATCTTATATTCTGATTATATGTGCTCCTGGTCAAATATTGCTGGTGTGTCTACTCTTTTTAGTTTTCTAAGTTTGACCCATAATTCATGATCTGTTACACCATCTGCACTGGGTGGTATCATGCTAATTGGATTGCACTTCTCCATTCTCTGCTTCCTGTTAGGCAGTCAGTCAGATTCTGGTGTTGTCCACCATGATATTTACCCAGTCATTGCATTATTGTATCTACCCAGTTCAAATCTTCCTGTATTTCTTTAACATATGTTTTCCAATCATCTGTTAGTAGCACTTAATCCTTTTCAGAAATTGCATTTAGTACTTCTTGCATTTTTCAATTTCTTCCATTATAATATCTATAATAGTATACTTTCATATAATACTGATGTTCACTGGATTTCTAATAATTATAACAGATGTGATCCATTTTTTAATTGATCTGTAGCCAAGCACATACTTAGTGATGCATTTTGGAGTACATCGTCACTTCATTTCTTTGTATGGTCTCATGCCCTGATATAATTATCTGATTTAAACTGGTTTATTCTGGCCCACCAGAGCTGACATATCTTAAAACATCCAACTTTGAATGCTTCATTTCTGCTTTGACAATTTCAACTTTTCCTTGCTCCATGTTTCTCACATTCCATGTTAGAACTGTTTGGTCCTTATACATTAAGGAACTCTTCTTTCAATAGTGGCAGCATCAGTGATTGTGTCTTTCATCTGGCCATATCACCAGTTCCAAATCTACTCATCTGATGTTCTTTCCTGCGAGTAGAGGACAACCTTCTGACCATATTTGCCTAACTGTTTTAGCCATGTCCATATAGGTTTCTTGGCAATAATAGAAAAGTGGTTTGCTATGACCTTCTTCTAGGTTTTATTTTGCAGTTCTGTCTCTCAGTGGGTTGGCTTCCATCATGATTGCAGAGCTCTACCTGCCTGCATCCCTTCCTTGTTCCTGTTTTCATTTTGAAGTTCCTTCTCCTAGATTGGTTGGTTTTCTCACACCAGTAG